CACACACACACACACATGTTTACTTTTACTAACTAAAATCACTTTACATGCCCAATATTCCTTTCATTCCAAAAGTCATCTATCTGTAGGACAGTGATGGAGCAGCTAGCACATGGTCACCTGACTCTAGGACAGTGATGGAGCAGCTAGCACATCATCACCTGACTCCAGGACAATGATGGAGCAGCTAGCACATGGTCACCTGACTCTAGGACAGTGATGGAGCAGCTAGCACATGGTCACCTGACTCTAGAACAGTGATGGCTGATACCTGGTCACTGGACTCTAGGACAGTGATGGAGCAGCTAACACATGGTCACCTGACTCTAGGACAATGATGGAGCAGCTAATACATGGTCACCTGACTCTAGGACAGTGATGGAGCAGCTAACACATGGTCACCTGACTCTAGGAAAGTGATGGAGCAGCTAACACATAGTCACCTGACTCTAGGACAGTGATGGAGCTGCTAGCACATGGTCACCTTACTCTGGGTAGGAATTAGAGACATCATCTATTCCCTTTCTCCCCACAGCCCATGGTATTTAGGCGAGTTTCAACGGCAATAAAATTAGAATTCTCTGGAGTGGCAGGCTGAGCAGTTTCCAGATCTAAAGATGCTAAGTATGGCTGTGACAGAAATCGCTGATAGATGGGATCCTGAGAGAGTGGAGCAGGCCGAACCCAAGCTCAAGGGGATCCACCCACAGCTGCCCAGCAGACCCACTCAAGTGTCCGTGGTGTAGTTTTGTTCTGTTAAATGCCAGTAGTGAAAACCTGCACAGGCCAGGCTTCCCCTTTGTAAAAGAGTCTAGGAACAGGGCTTTGAAGGCCCCTGAGCACATGGGTCTAAATGTTTCTGATCCAATTTTCTTCCTTTTTCTTTAAAGGCTCCAGCTGCCAGGTGATATGAAAAGCTGCGATTTCCACTTCTGATCATTTTTCACATTCCTGAAGCCACAGACGAACGCAGGGTGAGTTTAAAAAAATTGTTTCTCAATTCCTTTTTCTGTGGTGAAGGCAAGGATTTTTAAGGCTGCAGGAAATGTCCATTACAGAGACCAGAACCAAGGCACTCTCCTGAGGTTGTGACTTTTAGGTCAGTGTACCAGCTGAGTCTCGGTCTATCAGCATGAGCTTGAGACCGCTGGGGACCCTGCGCCCGCAGTCAGGAAGCAGGGAGTTACGGACGCCCAGCTCACATTCTCCTCTTTACTCAGTGCAGGACCCCAGCCCACGGGACTGTGTCACCCACATTTAAGGCGGGACTCCTCCCTTAGTTAGCCCGGTCTAGAAGCCCCTCTACAGACATGCCACCACTGACTCTAGATCCTGTTGCATTGACAATCAGGGTTAAACACCGGAAGTATACCATGAGAAGGTGGCCTTCTGCAAAGCAAAGGGTTAGACTTCAGAGAAATCAAGCCCACTACACTTTGATTTCAGACAGGAGCCCCCAGAACTGTGAGATAGTATGCTTCTGTCTGCTAAATTGCTTATCCTAGGGCGATTTGTTATAATAACTCTGAAAAAATTAGTACAGGTGAGTAGGTATAAGAGGTGGAGGAGGAGGAGGAGGAGGGAGAGAAGGAGGAGGAGGAGGGAGAGAAGGAGGAGGAGGAGGGAGAGAAGGAGGAGGGAGAGAAGGAGGAGGAGGAGGGAGAGAAGGAGGAGGAGGAGGGAGAGAAGGAGGAGGAGAGAGAAGCAACAGCTAACCTCAGTGGGAAACATGAACACGTGTGACGTCTCAATTCATGACACCAGAAAGGTGGAGGGAAACCTGGTTAAGAAAATAACGGGAGGGCGCTGGAGAGATAGTTCAGTGGTTAGAGCACTGGCTGTTCTTGAAGAGGGCCCAGGTTGGATTCCCAGCCCCCACACAGCAGCTCACAACCATCTGTAACTCCTGTCCCAGGGGGATTCGACACCTTCTGGCCTCCACAGACACTGCATGCACACGGCACATAGATATACATGCTAACTATCATTCCACAATAACCACAGAGCAATGGTATCATAGGAAATTAAGAACATGAGGATGATTAACAACACACGCTGCCGATGCTGTCCCCACGCAGAGGAGAACAGGAAACAGCCAGAAGTGCCAGGGTAAACACTGACTATAAATACACTACAACGTGGACTAATTTTACAGCTGAAATCTGGGGCCATATGAACTTCCAGACAACTGTAACCTGGCAGATGGTGAGTGGGATGTGAGAGTTAAAATATTCTGAATTTCAAGAGTGGGATTGAAATGCTGTTTATCATTGGATATTTTTTAAAGTGTGTTAAATTTTAGGGATAAGCACCCATAGAATGGCAATGAGGCATTTGATCCCTAGATAGAGGATAAATGAAAAGCAGATAAGGATGAAATAACAGCAGAAGAGGGAGGGTGAGTAAGAAAACACAGCCGAAAGAATTCACAGAGTGCAGGACTGGGCTTGTGACTTCTGGGTAGAGCATTTGCTAAGCCCCAGGCTTGACTCCCAGCAACCAAAATATAAATTTTGTTCAGAGAATAGTGATGTGAGTAACTAATAGGTTAATTGACCAAATATTTTATTTTCTTCAAATAAAGCAGGGAACTCAGGACCAGCCTGTGGGATTTGCTCATCTCTAAAGTGGGGATAGGAAGATCTGAGCAAGACAGGGAGTGTGTCCAGCATGTTATGGACTGACGAAAGACCGCATGGTGGACTATCTAAAAGCGAAGAATAAAATGGAAAAAGGTCTGTTTAAGTGTTTTTCTGGCTTCTGGTCTATTGCTGTGATAAAGACCATGACCAAAGCCACCAGGGGAGGAAGGGTTTGTTTGACTGACATAGCCGGATCAGAGTCTTTTGTATAATATTATAGGACCAGCCTTAATCTTATACTACCCCGGGGGGCCCAGAGGGATGCTACCAGTGGCGCGGGAATGAATCTAGATACACTGAGTTCTTTAGTCCACTCACTTTTTTCTTCTAAGCCAATTCTATCCACACAGCTTCAGCTCTGTCCTCACATTCAGCTCCTCTCTGTGCCCAGTTTTCCTGCCCTCACAGTTTTAGTAAGCTCCTGTGCTTTTGACCTGATCTATGCCCTCTGTCCCTTCGTCCTCCATCTCGCCTTCCTAGCTCCTCACTCCTGGCTCTCAGAAAACTCTACTATAGAGACCTGCCTTACCCTCTACAGAATCTCTGTCTTCCTCTCCTCTCTCTGGCCATGCGGTTCTGTGTCTCCCTCTGGAATTCCACTCCAGTCCTTACTGCACCTGGTTATGTAAAACACCCTACTGTCCTCAGTCAGTCTCTCTGCCATGACCCTAGGCCTGGAGGAAGAGGATGGTCTGCGCTTCATTTGCACAAGAAACAAATCTGTGCATCTACAGCCTGCTGGTTTCATAGGCTCAGTGGGGAAGTTAGTTACCTAGAAGTTCAGCAGGTCTGAGGAAGTGGACTGTTGCCAAATGGTCTGGGAATATTTGGGCATGCAAGAATTTCATAGCAGAAGACAGCAGAAATATTAAAAGCTGGATAACACCAAATATTCATAATAAATGGCTTGCCTTTTGACAGACCCTTGGCCGGTCAAAGTATAGCTTTAATACGCAGCTGAATCCCTCTAATATATTCTTGTGGCCAGGAAGAAAAGTCCATCGTGAAGGGAATCAGGCAGGAACCTGGAGGCAGGAGCTTCACAGGGGCCCGGGAGGAGCAGAGCTCACTGGCTTGCTCCCCATGGCTTGCTCAGCCTGCTTCCTTACAGCACCCAGGACCACCTGCCAAGGGGTCACACCACCCACAGTGGGCGGTTTCTCACCTGAGATCCCTCTCCCCAGATTTGCATAGGTTTGTGTCTAGTTGACAAAAACCAGTCAACATAAATGTGAAGTGAGGAGCCAGAGGTAGAAACAAAAGGGAAGTGGACAGCCAGAGTGACAAACTGAGACTGAGAGGGCCGGCCTCCTCGACACTGTCCTTGGTACCAAATGTGTGTTCCTACTCTGTGGAGGACCCAGGACTGAAATGGATCTGAGCAGAACGGTAGAGAGAGCCAGTGACCCAATCAAACAGCAGAGTGCAGAGCAGTCTGTCTACAGCAAGAAGAAATGCAGTCAGTGTGGCCATCTGTGCCTGGGCTCTTCACCTTTCACCTCATCCAGGTCTCGGGTCAAAGGTCACCTCCGATGTTCTGTGCTCCTTTCCTTCACAGCTTTTGTCACTGTTATTTCATTCTCGTTGAGCACAGACGACACCCTCACAATGCACACACATACACAACACACATACGACACCCACATGTAATGCACATACACACAACACATACACATACTACACATCACACACACACCACATACACACCACAACAAACACACATACACATGCAATGCACACACACAACACGTACACATACCACACACCACACACGCCACACAAACCACACACATAACACAACATAACATAAACACACACACAATGCACACATATATAACATATGCATATATACACATTCAACACATACACAACATAACACAACACACACATGCACACATACACATACTACACATCACACACACACCACATACACACCACAACAAACACACATACACATGCAATGCACACACACAACACGTACACATACCACACACCACACACGCCACACAAACCACACACATAACACAACATAACATGCACACACACACACACACAATGCACACATACATAACATACACATATATACACATTCAACACATACACAACACAACACACACATGCACACACACAACACAACACAACACACACCATACACACATAATACATATATATACACTGCATACACACCACACACACCACACACACCCACACACCACACATATACATACAACACACACACACACACCACACACACACACACACACACACACACACACACACCTCACACCCAGAACATGGTAAACTCATAATAACAATTAGTTGGTTAAGTTATTAAGTTTTAGCTTAGGAAGAAAAATCTAACATTCAGCCTATTTATTAAATATGATAGACATTGTCCCAAGACATGAATTTCAGTTTTTAAACTTAAGACCATTAAGTTCAATATCCAGCCTAAGAGAGAAAAATGACAGCAGATGGTGGCTTAAAACACCCACAAGTGCGACACCAGGGCTGGCTGGGGCAGGCTGACCTCGCCTCGCCGTCGCTTCTGTGACTCATCAGTGATCAATCTCATTACAAGGTCTACCAGGGCGGTGAGCGAATTCTCATCCGTGCAGCCATGAGCTTGGCTCTCAGCCCCGCTGCTGCTCAAGAGAGGTCGTGTTCTATGGTCTACAGCTCTGACCAGCTCAGGAGAGGAACAGGCGCCACAAAAAAGGGTTTCAAACTGGCATATACTCTATTTAATTCTTAATAAAAATACTTTGCGTGCACGTGTGTGTACCTGAATCATACACCTATATGCACACCATGTACATGCAGTGCCCATGGAGCCCAATAAAGGGAGTCAGATCCCTTGGAACTGGAGTTACAGACGGCTGTGAGCTGTAGTGTGGGTGCTGGGAATCAAACCCGGGTCCTCCGCAAAAGCAGCCAGTGCTCTTAACCGCTGAGCCATGTCTCCAGCCCCATGAATTCCCTGCTTTGGACGCCTCGCCTTCTGACGTCACATCCACTGCCCCTCACAATGTTTTCGTTGTAAATCCGCAGCTGAGTGTGGTTCTCCCTCCGCGGTAACAGCATCCCACAACAAAATGCCTTTAGTGCACGGGCGACGGTCTAACTCTGCTTCTCTCTGAAACACGCTAGTTATTGGTAGCTGAAAACTCTGTCTTGGGAGACACTGTGGCCCAACCAGGCCAGGGAGGGCGCTCTGCTGGGTTTTCCAACATACTGCAGAGCCAGCCAGCCCCCTCTACGTACATTTTTAGAGTAATGATTGTAATCAGAAAAAAAAAGAGTAGAAATTGATGCAAAGCTCGCTAAACAGCCAGAGGACCTTCTAAAGTAATGAATCACTGGCCCCCGATCTCCAAACCCGCCGGCTCCTGTACCACTTTAGGCAGAATCAGATTTTTGCCGCCACCTTCATCAAATGCCTGGATGTTATTTTTTCAGTGACTTCTAGTCATCTTTTGTGAGCTCTAAACTGTCTCTGGAAAGGCATGACCCACTTTTGTCTCGGACAGCCTGATTATAATAGCCCCGTCTGCACAAAAAGAAAATGAATGAAGTTGAATTAAGTCGCGACAATTTAATTTGTGGCGTATATGAGGAAGAAAGGTAAAATCTTTAGACGGATCCCAAAGGAACATGTCAGCTTCAATGCAAACAGCATTTGACTTTCTGGAAAGAGAAGTTCATTGTACTGGATTATAATTCAATTTCTGTATTCCATACACTCTAATTTCCCTCCGTAATAGTAAAATACAGTTAAAGACTGAAAAGGAAGGCCATTTCCCCCTTTCTAAAGCAAAAGTAAATGCCAGCGAGCTTGGGAATTAATTTTGAAACATGGTGTGAATTTTGCCAACAGGCACTTCTGTATTTGTATCAGGTGTTTTATTCGAATTTGTTTTTTAATTCAGGTGAAGTCAGAGTGCTTCCGTCATGGCTGGAGGAGAATTAACACTATTCAGTGGTGTGCTCGCTAGGAAGCGTGTCTGGCTGATTTGTCTTTCTACTCTGCTGTTCTCCAGAAGAGGCAAAACCAAAGGAAGAAAGCCGGACTCCTGGCACGCAGGGATTGCCATTTCCGGCCACAGATCGGTGCGTTTACCGCGGGCAGGCGTCCCTGGAGCCACGCTGCAGGGTCCAGAAAGCGTTTTTTCTGGGTGAGAGATGGCAGCTCCTCCGCCTCGCCCATGCTGACGCAGTGTTCACAGGCCATGTGCATCAGACGCAGACACCCACCCGGGTATCCCACACTCTGCAGCCAGTGCCCACCAAAGCTGCCATAGTGGTCCTCACGGCAGTTAATGCAGTAACCCCATCACCTTGCCTGACACACGGGAGATAGGAAACACATCGTTAGTAAGTGAATGCTGAGCCTTGTAGAACTGAGCTCCAAACCTCTGCATGACCGCCCCCCCCTCCCCCAAGCGTTTCTACTCTGGGTCTCGTGTCCACCTCCAGGCAAGGATCAAGGGGCGGCAGAATCATTCTAACCACTCACGTGCTGCTCCTTTCCGGTACAGTAAAGTCTCAGTTCAGTTCATAGCTCCCAGGCATGTTTACAGCTCAGCATCAAGGATCTGAGAAGGTCTTTGTCCTCGGGGAGAGCTGTGGAAGCCGCTTCCCTGGGGTATAACAACTGAGGAATCCGAGGTGCTTCGCTAAGCTGGAAGCAAACACGGGATGCTGCCTCTGGGCGAAAATGCTCGCAGGAGCTGTGGATTCCAAGGCTAGCTGGTGTCGGAGCATGCAGAGGACAGAAGCACACGTGAGGGAACCCACCAAGCTGCTGAGGTCCCTCGACCTGCAATCCGGGTCAGCAGCACCGTGTCTTGGAGTAAAAGTCCCCAAGATAAAGAAAGGAAGCCTCTCTCCTCCCCTGCTGGTTGACTTTCTGTTTCTCTAACAAGAATCCAAGATAAATCATCGTTAAACGGGGCAAGACTCGTTCGGGCTCACGGCTTCAGAGGTTCGAGGAGGCCACAGTCTCTGGAGTCTTTTGAGTCTGTGACGTCACAGCTCACGACAGCTGGAGGATCACTGCGGAGCTGCCAGGAAACCAAACGCTGAAGATCATCTTATGACTGCATGTTCTAAGCCACGGACAACAGTGCATGTTCACACCGATAGAAGATACTTAAACACAGGGTGGGGGTGGGTTTTGGGTATCTGTCACACCAGTGATGCTGATGGCCTGCTGTATTTCTAGAGCCCTCTCCAGGCACAGAATCTCTGACTACCGGATGTAAACATACTCTGTACGTGGCCACACACCTCTGCAAGGTCGGAGGGTGCAAGACTTTCTAATACCCTCTGACATTTTTACTTCATAAGACATATTTGAGTATGTTATGCCATTTGATATTTTTTTTTTTTTTTTTTTTTTTTTTGGTTTTTCGAGACAGGGTTTCTCTGTGTAGCTTTGCGCTTTTCCTGGAACTCACTTGGTAGTCCAGGCTGGCCTCGAACTCACAGAGATCCGCCTGGCTCTGCCTCCCGAGTGCTGGGATTAAAGGCGTGCGCCACCACCGCCCGGCCGCCATTTGATATTTTAAACAGCAAACCTGGAAGGTAAATGGGTATTATAATTACCATCCCATTTTACCATGATGGAAGCCAGAAGGAGGTCAACGCCCCCACCCCCACAAGCCCAAGGACTCTTGTCCCGACAGTGATGGAGGCTGGAACAGAGTCAAAGTCCTGACCTCTGCTTTGGTGACATATCACATCCTTCCTGATTGGTTTCCGTGTGACTTGGAGAGCCCTTCACAGGGTCATCTCTAAGGACATCTTCGTTAACAGGTAAAATAAGTTAATAGACCATAATGAGGTAAGTGATTTGAACCTGAACAGGAAAAACTTCTTTATGGAGAGAAACTATATGACACAGTTTGCAGGGGCAGCCTCTTTAAAAAGGACAGCTCCTCAAAAAACCATGTCAGCCAAGCTGATGGGCACAGGGCAATGAAGAAAACAGAGGCCCGGAGCCCTGCCTCCTGTCTGATGCCACGTGTCAGCATTGAAAGTTCTTACTAGGTGGAAGAGGCTTACATTTTTAGTTACTGCATGATGTGATGATGATGAGAACCCCCGCATCACTGGTATTTTTTTTAACCACCCATTAATGTAGAATGGTGAACGGTAACAACTGTGAGATGGTCCCGGGCAGGTGGCTGCCATGAGCAGAGACCGCCAAGACTCATGGCCTCAGGAGAACACTCAGCCAAGGGGAAGGTGTGCATTTCCTTTGCAGGTGTGAGCAGAAAACAAAAAGCTTAAGAGGAAGGGAGGGAGGGAGGGAGGGAGGGAGGGAGGGAGGGAGGGAGGGGAGAAGCCTTCAAAAACATATCCCCCAAGAAAGGCCAGGCTCCGAGCTCTCAGCTCACTGGGAAACAGTGGTGCATGCATCAGAGTCCCTGGCCACTGGGAAGGTGACTGTCTCTCTTGATTTTTCTACTTCTGTAAGGGAAGTTGACGCAGGACATGATTGAGAAGACCCTGCAGGGTTAAGGGACCCTTGCCGTGTGTGGTCCACCAGGAAGTTCATGTGGAATTTCATATGTTGGGATGAAGCGGAGCAGCAGCTAAGCCAAGGCCTCTCCAAGTGCTGATTAATTACAAGGGTGTGGGGTCAAAACGTATGTCTAAACCGAGCCTCTCCTTAGAGAGAGTTTTTAAGACGTCTTAAGAAAGGGAAAACTTGGACCAACTGTCGAAACGCTCTCTGGATCTAGCTGCAAGTGCTGAGCAAGCAGCAGAGTTCAGTTAGTTCAAGCCGTGCCATAAAGAATAGCTCTGAACGCCGCAGGCCACGGGAAGCCCTTATTTCACGTCAGCTAAGATGTCAGAGAGAGTGATGAGGGGGAAGAGAAGCTGTGGCCAGCGTGGGGCTGTGGGTAGAATCCCGATAGGACGGGAGAGGGCAAGAGCCTCTACGCAGTGAAGGAGCGCAGTGATCACCTTTCTCCATGCCCTTGCTTCCTGTAGTTTCAGTACCTGTGGTTCGGTGATCCAATACTAAACAGAAAATTCGAGAGATAAACAGTTCCTAAGTTTTAAATTGCATGGTATTCTGAGTGGCATGGTGAAATCGAGCACTATCCTGCCGTATCCCACCCAAAGCGTGAAGGGTCCCTCTACCCAGCGCAGCCACACTGTATATGCTACCCCCTTGCAAACCACTTTGTAGTCATCTCTGCTCTGAGACTGCTGCTGTTTCATGGTACTTGTGAGATGTAACCCTTACACAGTCACCTAACATCACAATGTGTATGTGTATTTCACATTACTTCATCTTATCACACACACATTGTGACAACTCATACCATCACGAGAAGGCTGAGTATAAACCAGAAAGAGATATTGAAAGATTTATATATATATATATATATATATATATATATATATATATATATATATATATGCATATATATGTGTACATATATACATACATAGCACACCTCCACATAACTTCTGTTACAGTGCACTGCCGTGCATATTCTTTTACTGGCCATAATTAATCTCTCACTGTGCCTAACTTATAAGTTAAATCTTATCATAGCATGTACATATAAGGAACGTATGACAACTTCAGAATTTGGTTCCTCTGTGGTTTCTGGCATTCATATGGTTCTTAGAATTCTCCAGGGATAAGGGATGAGGAGAAGTGCCGTACAATGAAAATACTTGCCAAATCCCTGTTAATACATTCAACTTTCCTTACTTTGCTACCTCAAGCTAGTGAGCATGACAACTATCATGCTTGAGGTCCCTTTGTCAGGGTCCCCATGTTTCCATATACCTTTCTTTAACCATCAGTAACAAAGCAATATTTCTTTGGGGAATGACAAGTAAAATGTATGAGTGTGTTTCTTTAACAACTTAGCTTCAAGGTTTTCCTAGCATTCTATTGGCCAATTCTTAGAGTTTTTCTACTGCATATTGAATATATCATCATTAGGTAAAGTAGACAAGTCATTCCCCTGGACTAGGTCCTACTATAGCACATGCATCAGGCAACTGTCACCTCCGGGGGGCGCTGGAGAGCTGGGCACAGTGCTGAAGAGTGGTTGCTGCCTTCCCAAAGGAAGAGTGTTCATTTCCCAGCACCCACACTGGTGGTTCACAACCAACCGTAATTCCAGCCCCAAGGGATCTGTCGTCCTCTTCTGGCCACCTTGGGAACTGCACGTATGTGGAACACACACACACACACACACACACACAGACACACACACACACACACACACACACACACACACACACACGCACAGAATAAATAGCCATTCCTCCCCTACATGCTTAATTCTGCCAATTCATCTTATTTCAACCAGATATGTGAAAACTACAAAATTCACAACAAAAGGAAAACTATAGGTCAGTAACATGAAAGATAATTTCAGAAACCCTTCCTAATGACTTTAAAGTTTAGCAGACCTGAAAAGTTGATTCAAGCAGAAAATCTGGGTAGACCAACGGCTGTGGAGGGATTGAAGGAAATTACCAACAGAAGCTCAACCCAAAGGTCCCAGCTAAGAGGGTCTCATGATAAAAAAGTTTCTTCAGCTTCTAAGAGAGAGATGATTCTTTTTTAATTCTAAGTGTAGGAAAAAACACACAATTTGTGAAAGTACTACCTATATTCTTATTTTAGTAACAAAAAAGGCACAAACCAATCTTGGTGATTGTCATACACAAAACTCCCAAAAAGAGGGCTAGACTATAAAATCGAAGAATTTTGTTTTTACTTCTTTTGATACAAGTTCTCACTATGTAGCTCTGGCTGGCCTGAAACCTTCTATGTAGAGCAAGCTGGTCTTGAACTCACAGAACTTGAACTCACCTGTCTCTGCCTCCTGAGTGATGGGATTAAAGGAGTGTGCCACCAAGTCTGGCAAAAATCACGGAGTTAGCTGGGCGGTGGTGGCGCACGCCTTTAATCCCAGCACTCGGGAGGCAGAGCCAGGCGGATCTCTGTGAGTTCGAGGCCAGCCTGGACTACAAAGTGAGTTCTAGGAAAGGCACAAAGCTACACAGAGAAACCCTGTCTCGAAAAACCAAAAAAAAAAAAAAAAAAAAAAAAAATCACGGAGTTTATTAAAATAGTAATCTAATCAGATGTGAACAGTGATGTATAGCTGCAGTCCCAACTCTCAGGATGCCGAGGGGAGAGGCTTGTGTGAGCTTGAGTCACTAGTTCAAGACCAGCCTGGGTAACATGATCTAGATGATGGATAAATGGAGAAAAAGTCCCCTCTTTAGTGTTACATTCAATGCGATAATTGCCTTAATAGTCAAACAAGGCTTTTTACCTATTTATCTAGTGATGCTGGAGACTGAGCACAGGGTCCTGTGCACCTAGGAATTACACCTTCAACCCCACAACTCAAGCAATCAATTCTTTGAATTCAACTTTTAGAGTGTTATCCCTATCTACTGCTGTGTAGCAAATTGCCCTACCCCAAATCAGCAGTTTGAAACAATAGGCATTTACTAATTTGCAGAGTTTTTATGGGCCAAGGAACCAGGAGTGGCTCAGTGGGATGTTCTTGCTCAAGGGTGGTTCAGAGGATGCAGTAAGTCCTGGGATTCAGTCACTTGGAGAGCAGACTGGGGTCAGAGCGGTGGGCTTCTAAAGCTGCTCACTCACATTCCTAGCCAGTTAGAGCCAGAAATTGACAGGAAGGGTCTGTTTCTCAGCATGCAGGAACTGCTTGAGTTCCCCTATCATTGCCCTGGCTTCCTCTAGAATGAACACTTGGAAAAATTTCCCATAGAAACTATTATGGCAGGTGTGAACTAGACTAAAACATCATGCCTGTTGTATCTTGTTGGTTACATATCTGCTTAATTAGATAGGGATGGACACTGCACACAGGCATGGTTACAAAGACAGGAGTCGATGGAGACATCTTAGGGGCTGCCTGTCTCAGGCACTTCCCTACTTGGAAAAGACAAGCAGGAGATAGTGTAGCTAGAGTTTTCCTGCCTGGCCCACAGTGAGGACAAATCTCTCTCACCTGCCAGTCCCACAGCCGCTCAGACCCGACCAAGTAAACACAGAGACTTATATTGCTTACAAACTGTATGGCCGTGGCAGGCTTCTTGCTAACTTTTCTTACAGCTTAAATTAATCCATTTCTATAAATCTATACCTTGCCACGTAGCTCGTGGCTTACCGGCATCTTCACATACTGTTTCTCATCGTGGCGGCTGGCAGTGTCTCTCTGACTCAGCCTTCCACTTCCCAGCTTTATTCTCCTCCTTGTCCCACCTATACTTCCTGCCTAGCCAATGGCCAATCAGTGATTTATTTATTGACCAATCAGCAACACAC